AACTTAGACATATTATGGGCTGACACTGTCATGAATGGAAATAATTCTGGCCTTGAAGGAAGTGGAGAACTTAAGTAAGTGAAATTAGTAACAGGAACAAAGGTTCAGAGGCAGGGGTGATAACCACAATGGCATTGATGGTAACAGCACTTTCTATGTGCCAGACATGCCTGCATGCACTTTTACCTATGGTATTTCATGTCATTCTCACAAACTCATAATATCTCCATTTAACAGAGGAGAAAATGGAGGCCAGTTACCTACCCTGCCTGAGGTTATAGGGCAGGTAGGGCAGGATTTGGGCTCCCTGCTTGCTGGAACTATACCCTCACCTACCACAGTGATGTGCATTTTACAATGAAAGGAAAATGGACAATGCAGGCTGGCAAAGGAGAAGGAAGCAGGAGCAGAAAAGCAAGCCAAGAATACCCGAAAAAATACCAAAAAAAAAAAGAATACCAGAAAAGCAAACACAGGGCAGACTAAGGAAGGCCACTGCTGGGAGGCAGTTAGCGTTTTTTAACAGATTAACAGCAGGTAAAAAACGGTGTCCTGGGAAGGCTAACCTTATGACAGAGAAGGAAGAATGAAAGAAACAGGCACAACTGTCCAGCTGTGGGGTGATCAGGGCCAAATCTAGAGCAAGGCCAAGAGGAAGTAAGTGAGATTAGAAAGGCAGAGAACCAACCGAATTGTCAAGCACCATCTTCTAACAGCTGCATTTGCAGTGACTTTGTTTTTGGTAAAAACCCTCAGAATGTAGCCTAACATTATTTACGGTTGCTTACAATCATCAAATCTTCCAGCTTTTTTGGAGCTGACCTTATTTCCCACCCTATCAATTTAAAGAGGGTTATAAAGTTGTCACTCCCAAATTCTGCTTATAGCTTTAGCTAAAAGGTCTGGAAAGCCACCTCCTACTGACCTCTTCCTCTTGATGCAATTCCAAACAGATACAGCGTTCAGACATTTTAGTCACAGAACTTATTACCATTGGAAATTTTGACGGATTAGATGAATGCAGGTTTTCAAACCTGTGTTTCTAAAAATAGGACAAGAACCTTCATCCTGTTGTATTGATGAGATCAAAATCTCTTCTGACAAAAAAAGCGGGGGCAGAAGGAAATATTCATGACTTTCTATCTGAATGCACTTGTTAAGCCTAAACACTTTTTTGCTTTCTTAAGGGGTTAGGCGAACAGCACAACCTAATGCAGCAAAACCAAACCAACCAAAAGGAACTCAGATGGGAGTAAAACACCTGAACTCTTTTTTGTTTTGATTACTGTTAGCTGTGAAGCCTTCACCCTTTCTGGGCAGAGGTTTCCATAAAAGGAGAGGTGACCTGCCCATGTCTATGACCCCATGATCTGCAATAATAACTTTTATTTTTCCTCAGAGAGAGATGAAAAACAAAAGTGGAGGAAATAATTAAAATGTTAATGCATCTGAGGACAGGCTTTCAATATAGAACAGTACTTCTGTTATGGTTATTTTTAGAATATAAGCTGCTTAAAGGACTGCTTTCACGGACTTCCTACCTGTAATTGGAAAGAAAAACCACGCATGGTGGGGAAGGCAGGAGGGGCTTTTCTCTGTTCTGCATGTGGATCAGTGGACCCTCACACAGGCAGCATGGGCGCCACAGGGGGTTCCCAGCTGGCTTGGTCTGCGTGACTTTATTCACAGAGCTCTCTTTGCACCAAATGGAAATCCTGCTCACAGAGAACTGAGAAACCAGCAATGAGAACTTTCTCTGGCTGACACGAGTGAAGAGCTTCCTGGTTGATTACCACCAGAACTGTGATGGCTGGTCCTAGTCATGACATGGAGCTTCAAGTGGCTAAAGCTATGGGATGCGACGACAGAGCCAAGCAAATGGGTGGGACGTTGGGACTTTGCAATCAGGCATGAGGAAGGTTAGTGCAGTTGACAAATGTGACTGACTGCCCACCAGCACATACTACCATAAAGGGGAAAATGTAGCATTCTGCTGATGAAAGTATGTAGATGGCACTGAGTGTAAGATCTGGGGAGTTTGGGAAAGTTCTAATCAAAACAGAAGTCAACAGCTAAAAATGACAGCATCACTTCTTGATCGCTTGGCTAAGTCCAAGTATAAAAATAACACAACAAGGAATTCTCTATAACAATCACAAGTGAAGTTTCATTGCACATACCCCTACTTTTCTCCTGATTTCCAAAGGAGATGAGAAAGGAAAACAAAGTATCCTGAACCACCAGTGGCAAATCAGTAGTGTGTTTAATGGGCTTCAACATGGACTGAAACAACTCTAGAGTCCAATACGCTACTCCTTTCCTTGCTCACCTCTGTGCCCTTTCAGAACTTAAGATGAAAGGATTGTGTCTGGAGACAGACACACACACTATTATTTAACCTTACTACCAAACTAACAAAGCTGGTATTGTGGACTCCACGTCAGGGGCTAAGTGAATAGAAGAACAAACCAAGGAGCCTGAGGAGAAGCCTCAGAGAGCATGATGTGAGCGAGGTCACAGAAGATAGCCACAAAGAAATAAACAGCCTCAGGAAAGAAAATAAAGCAAGGACTGAAAAGCGCTCTTTGCATCTGACAATATGGAGGATACTGCCTGTATTCACCTCTCACAGTGCTTACAATTCTATGTGTACAAGTCATACCTTGAGTACTAGAAAATCTGCGTTCCAACATGAAATTAAACCCCATCTGGTGTGAGGGGGAGAATGGGATTCCGGAGATGTGCAAGGTCACATAGGTCACAGAGGCAGTGCCATATTCACAGATCAGTGCCAGTACTAGCTTCCCACACTTTTCACCCATTTCTGTGCCCCCAAACTTCTCCAAAATGGGAGCTCAGGTTCTAAAATCTTGCTACTGCTGCTTATTTCAAAATTTGTGTGATTAGGCCCAACAATTTCACTCATTATTAAAGACAAGTTATAAAGTGTCAATATATGCTCAGAGAGGTGGCCTCCAGCCTAGTCTCCTGGTCCTCAGTTATTCCTCATCCTCACACTCCTTGTGGTTTTCTGTAGGCAGCTCTCAGGGTCTGTTCTCTGCCTAAAATGTTTTTCATTCTTCCTGTGACCACCCATGTCCTACCAGTGCTACAAAATCCCACTTTTCCAGAAGATTCTAAACACCACTATCTGATATCATTATCTGACCATATGTTAAGCCACTTGAGTCTTTGTTCAATAAATATTTATATTTCATCTATTTCTGCTTCAAGTCTAAATATTTCATCTAAGTATTTCTTCTCCTCCTCTCACCAGTATCTTAAACATCTTAATAATTATATTTCACCACCCCCATTGTGCTATGCTAGGCTCATAATCTTTATTAAGATGAATTCTCCTTTCCCTATTCAGAAAAAGTGCTGACTGAGGGCAGCAGTACATGAGAGAAAGCTGTCCAGGGCTTTTGGTGATTGGTATGCATCTCCAAAGGTAGTAAGGTAGTAATGACAGTAAGCTATCTTAGTACATATGTAAGTGCCATTTCACTTACTAGACAGTAGTATTGGTGAGAGTGTAGAGAAATTAGAACCCACCTCATTTGCTTCTGGATTGTAAAGTGCTGCTGCTTCAGAAGGGTTTAGCAGTTCCTCATAAAATTATATATTAAGAGAACTGAAAAAATATGCCCACATATAAATGTGGGTACACTGATGTTCACAGCAGTCTTATTATACTAGCCAAAGTAGAAATAATGTCCATCAACTAAAGAATACATAAACAACATGTGGAATATTCAGAAAGGGAAATATTCAGTCAGGAAAAGGAATGAAGTAACTGATACAGGACAAAACAGAAATGAATCTTGAAACTTTTATGTTAAGTTAAAAAAGTCAGATACAGGAGGTCATATATTAAATATGCAGAATATGAACTATGCAGAATAAGCAATAGAAAGTAGATTGATTAGTGGTTGCCAGGAGCTGGGGTGAGGGGTGACTGTGAGATGACTGCTAATGGATTATGTATTTTGGGAATATGAAATGTTCTGGAATTAGATATTGGTAATGGTTGAATAGCTTTGTAAACATAAAAGTCACTGAACTATACTCTTTTAAAGGGTGCATTTTACAGTATTTGAATTATATCTCAAAATTTTATAAAGCTAAACAAAGAAAACTGCCAGTATGTATGTAAGAGCTCCAAACTTTAGAATACTCAAATACCATGTGGCTGCTTCTTAACATGTGAACTTCCTCAGCATTGGTAAAATCATCACCAAAATTCTAGCCTAATAAACTCACTGTGGAACCATCAGCCTGCACTTAACAAGCACACCAATAGATGCTGATGCAAGTTACTAGCCAATGAAACATGTTTCTTGAAGCACAAGCATAATGAAAAGAAATTATAATTTAGAACCAGAAGAGCTGGATTCAAATTCTGATACTGCTCCTTCTTGTGATATGACCTTATGCAAATCTCGTAACTTCTTTGCTTCTGAGTTTCCTCAACTATAAAATGTAAAGCAGAATGTCTCCCTCTAAAGAAGGTGTTCCATAAGTGCCAGAGACCCTAAATGGGCCAAGTCCATTCAACAAATACTGGCAAGCTACAATATGAATAGGGTGGTAAATAAGATGAATTTTGAAAGTTATCAATTACTGGACTTGGAAAATATGAAATAGATTTTAAAGGCCAAGTTACTTACAAACTATCAAAATTATTTACACACTATTTAAATATTACTTTTCATGACACTGAAAAAGTGGGGTGTATAAAGGAAAATGAACACAATATGGGTTCAGGAATTTTGATGATTATAATAAATTTTTAAAGGTTATTTAAGTAATAAAACTAATACCTGTACTATACTGTTATTTCTTTTCTTTCTCTATATTTTCTAACCCCAAGCAGAATGAAAGCCTGGAATTTGGGATCATGCCTTAACTTGACTCATATCAGAGTGAAAGCAAGCTCATCCTGGGACACAGAAAATACACAGTAAGAAGGCACTTCTGGAAATAGTGTGGTCTGTTACCTTCAGGTCACGGTGGATAATAGGAGTTTTGCACTGATGCAGGCGAGCAACGGCTTCACAGGTGTCACAAAATATCTGGAGCACTTCATTCTCCGTAAAACCTGTTTGTAGGCGCTGGTTCATCAAGTTGACCACCTGGCCCCCTGAGAAGAGTGCAGAACAAAAGAGAGATTACAAACAGGGAGATTCCATCACAGATTCACACAGTGCACCCTTATCCATAAAGGAACAACCAGGACAAAGGTGACAAAAGCTGATCACTGGCTGAGTCAGGACTAAAACCTGAGTCTTTAGTCAGGAGTAAAACCAGTCTGGCATTTGTTTTCTTATGAACCAGGGCCTCCTCTAATACATCAAAAACAGCTTCTTTATTTTATAAAGCATCCCAGATGGAAAATGCCCTCATTAAATTTCAAGATTAGTAGTAGAACAGACAATATGGTCTTGCTATATCTGTCTGGTTTTACTGTCCATGTTGTGTATTAAATAATGCCATGGGTTCAACTTGCCATCCTTAGTTAAGAATCAGATTGTACAAAAGATTCCAGGAGCAGAAGAAGGCTTTACAGTCCATATAGTGCAGTCTTTCTGGCTTCACTGCTTGTTACTTGGCTTTAGAAATGCTACACTGACATTTAATCTTTAGGACTGAAAAGTTGAAGTCCTTACTTATAAAATTATTCAAATCCTTGTATACTCTCCTGTCTAAACATTTTACTGTCCAAAAGGAATGAGGAGGAAGAAACAAACTGTCAAGTTAAAATTTGGAGGCATTTTATTGATAGTTATTACAGATTGATAGTTATTACAGTAATACATGAAATTACTGCTTAACATCACATTTTTGGATTAGCAACATATTCAATTTATGTATATTATCTTTACAGGCAAGAAAAATGATAATGGAGCTAAGGTTGATTACATAACAAGACACCAAACAGTGAGACAATGACCCAAGATTGTAAATGGCAGCTGCTCAGGCCAGAGACAAAACTCCAAATGATTGTATGAAAAGCAGTCAACTCTGAATAAATTCAAGTTACTGCCTAGATTTCCCAAGATAAATGTTTGAAATTCCAAGTACTTAATATCACTGTTAACAGCAACAACATTTGAAAGTACTAGGAATCACAGTTCTCTGAGCAAAAAGAAGACGGTCATTTCTTTTTGTCTAAAAAGGATTCTTTTACCCTGTAACACAAGGATGGTGGTGTGGGTGGGGAAGAGAACACATGAGGGAGGGAGGGAGGAAGCAGCATTGTTTCCTTAGGCCATCTGGAATTAGGTCTTTATTATGTGCCTTCATTATTTGTTTTAAAGCACCACAAAGAATACATTTATCCTCAATCTCATTCATATACAAGCACCAAGTCTTGAACCTAACAAAAATAGAGTTTGTAATATCCACTACTTTAAAAGGTTGGAGAGAAAAAAAAAGGTTGGAAAAAAAAAAGGTTGGAGACCATGATCCTTGCCCTTATAAACACAACCAAGAGGTGACTGCTGGCTCTGTATCTTTTTATCTTAATTTCCTAAACTTTAAAAGCAGAACAGTATATACTGGGGTAGAGGGCATATTAACTGAAATGAGGTCCATGTCCTTACAACCAAGTATTAGAGAAATGAGTTATGGGTCTGATGCACATACTTACCTCTACAGAAGTCCATCAGAATAAGAACTTCCCAGACATCACCACTACTCACATTGTTGATACTGGAGTCAATGTAGCCCACAATGTTTTTATGCCCTGACAGGTCCCTCTGTAAAAAGGAGTTAAGAACTATGTTATCCAAATATATTTATCAACAGAGGATGAGGCAGTCAATTTCATGAGCACAGATTTGTTTAAAAACACAGAGATGACACCAACAATGTTGAGATATAAGACTAAGGAGCAGGGTCAAAACAGGTTTCCCTGGCCTCTACATTTGTAGTCACATCTTCAATAGCAATTCTACAATCCTACCCAACTATACCACTCTTTTGTACTAGGTTCGAGAGCCAAATACACACAGGGTGCCCCTTATTCACTGTTTAAGTGCTCTACATAAATAGAAGCAAAGATTTCCAACTTTAGAAACACTGCAAAGGACTAAGAGGAGAAATATGGCATGAATTATTTAAATATGTATTTTTAATTCAGAAAAATGAAACTGGTGGTTTTTTCCAGGTTGTAGGAACAAAAGAAATTCAACTTAACTTTTTAATCATTCCTACAGTTTTTCTCTCTTGAAGAAATGAATACATGCTTTACAAACTCCTGAAAGGGCTACAATGACATCCAGATCAAAGCTTTCTGCTGATGGGCAAGGCTTTTGAGCCAATCAACTTTTATATGTGATGGGTCATGGTTCCAGTTCTTTAGTTGGATATAAGATTTCTTAGGATTGCTTGTGGAATTTACTTGTTTGAAAAATATTTATGGAGTACCTCCTCTCTATCAGGATCTATTTAGGCACTGGAAGTTGCCTTATAACTTGGTATCATTATTTCAACAGCCCTGTAGAAAAATCTGTCTAATGAGGATCTTCAAAATCTTGGGTCATTAATCTTTTTTGATCACTGAGTAGGATTCCACTGTGTGTGTTACAGCACATTTTCTTGATTGAATTATGGGTTCTTTGGTGATGGGTCACAATGGTGACTATACCTGAAGGGGAAATTCTATACTTTTAAAATACTAACAATAATATAAACCAGTGGTATGTCAATAAAAACTTTTTATAAATCTGAGGTCGTTAATAACTAACTAGTAGCAAGAAAAAGTAAACAAAGTAGCTAATAATTTTTTTTGCATAAATACAAGATCCTATTTTTTTTTAAAAAAAACTACTTTAAATCAATTGTTTTACTTTTGTTTTAAAAAATGGAGGGATATATGTGGGATATTATAACAGTTATAATACAAAGCAGTTTGACCCATGAGACCCAAGGCATGACCCATGACATAAATTCCACCATACTAACTAGAGCATCAGTTGTTTAAAGTGGTAAAATTTATCTGAAATTACACATCAAAACAAGAGGAAGTCTTACAATGTCAAATGAACATACCAAGACAATGGGCATAAAAGTTAAAACTAACAACTTTCCTGTAAGTGAGGGATTAAGAGTGATTATTGTCTCAAAAAAAATATTAGACAGGGGCCCTGCCTGGTGGCGCAGCGGGTTAAAGCACTGCACCAAGAAGCTGAAACCACTTCCGCATGAGTTCGATTCCCGCCTGCCCCGGAGGTGACCACATGGCGTGGCAGACCTCTCCTGACCCGCCCGCTGATCCCCTCAGCAGTGTACTTCGTTGATCTGCCTGTTCTGCTCCCCACTCTGTCCCTGAAGTCTTTCGCCACCCCTGAGTCTCTGGCCTGTACCCCAGTTCTGTATGCACAAATAAATAAATCTTTAAAAAAATATATTAGACGGCCCTCCCTGGTGGCGCAGCGGGTTAAAGCGCAGCACTGAGAATCTGAAGCCACTTCCGCATGAGTTCGATTCCCGCCTGCCGCCTGCCCCGGAGACCACATGGCGAGCCAGACCTCTCCTGGCCCGCCCGCTGCTCCCCTCAGCAGCGTACTTCGTCAATCTGCCTGTTCTGCTCCCCACTCTGTCTCTGGTGAAGCCTCTCACCGCCCCTGAGCCTCTGGCCTGTACCCCAGTTCTGTATGAATAAATAAATAAATTAAAAAAAAAATATTAGACAAAGGTAGAAAAGTGACCACTGGAATTAGCAACTGGGGATCCATTAAAAATCTATACAATAGGCAACCCCTGGTGGCACAGCAGGTTAAAGTGCAAATCAGCTGCAGCTGCTTCAGTGCCCCAGAGGTGACCCACATGGCATGGCAGACCTCTCCTGACCTGCCCACTGCTCCCCTCAACAGTGTACTTCATCGATCTGCCTGTTCTGCTCCCCACTCTGTCTCTGGTGAATCCTCTCACCATTCCTGCACCTCTGGCCCTTACGCCAATTTTTTAAAAATCTGTACAAGAACAATTTTAGAGAAAGGATAGAATGGAGACTGAATGGAATTGGACATGTGAAAAAATGAGTTAAACATATACAGTCAGTGACTATAGATGACTCAAAACATTTTGTGCTTAAGGAAAGAGCAGCACTGTGGCAAGAATTTGTTAGGATTGGTGGGGGGGGATGAGCACAGGAGAGTGCAAAGAGTCAGAAGAACGCATTAAAATACAAGAGAGGGTGAGAATAATTGATGGAACAAAATTCTATAGGTAGAAGAGTCTATAGCATTATTAAAGGAAACAATCTTGGAAAGACATTTCTTTCCTAGCAAGCAGGGAAGGAACAAAAAGGGTATACACATTGGCTAGGGAAGTGAATTTGAGTGAATTCAGAGCTGTTGTTTCATTTTTGGTGGAGAACAAGGTCATCTTCCAAATGTAAGGGAATGAGAAAGAAGCCTGGTGAGAAATAAAAGGTTTAGAGCAACTGCTTTGGATAACAGACAAGGTAGATGATAAAGCAAAAATGGATCTCTACAGCTCAAGTTTCTCCAAAATAGAAAGTGATTTCAGGTCGCATGTTTTAGAGGGTTATCCTTCTCCGCCTTTCAGTCTCATCATCAACATGTCTAGAGCTCATTTCCATTTACACGGTCCTGAAAGTAGGAGAACTAGAAATAAATTTTGGAAACCAAAACGGAGCAGATTATGTCCTCTAAATGTTCACAGAGGAATGAAAGCCTATGTTTCTACATTTAACACTTTAAAAAAGGATCAGTAATGTTGCATTTGAGTTTGTCTTGCCTCAAGAGGAAAACTATAGAATCTAGAAGAAATAAAAAACACATTTGGTAGATCCAAAAGGTCAAGAGCTATTAGAGGACAAAGTAGATAATGAACACTTGCAGGTAAGTACCCTAGAATGGTTTGTCGAGATCACTTCAGGCCCAAAGTCTTGCTCATTTTGTCTTTTACAGAGATCCTAAGTTATGTCCAAATAGAAAAGATCTCCTCTTTGGAGGGAGACCATGGTGTTTCCTTCTTTAACTATTAGTTTTTAGTTTTATTTAATGAAATGGTAGAGGTAGGAAAAAATAAACTTTCCATGTGAAAATTACTCAGAAAATAAACCAAATCTATCTTGAAACAAAGCAAAATTCTTCCTTAATGACTGCCTTATTTTCTCTTCATTTCAGACTTCTTGCGTTTAAAATCAGAGTGAATCATTTCACCAATCAACAGTTTCTATTATTGCCCAGTATTTCTATAAACAAAATACTTTTCAAAAGGATTATCTTTTCTCTTTTTTTATATTTTCATGTAATTATTCTCTATTCTAGTTGAGGTAGTAACACTGGTCTAACTCATTGTGGTTGAGAGTATAGATCTCCTAGTTCAAGTTTTGCCATAGCACAGCAAAACACCACTGTCCACTGCGTCCTCTTCCCTCTTTGTCCTCCCTCTTTTCGTAGCCTCATTTCTACCATCTGATTTCTAAGATTTGTTATAGTTTTGCTTTATGTGACCCTTTATTTTGTTTCTCTATATTCTACAGGTAAGTGACACCTTCTGATATTTATCTTTCTCCTTCTAACTTATTTCTCTAGCACAGTCCCTTCAGCTCTATCTATACTGTTGCAAATGGAAAGAGCTTATATCTTCTGATAGCTAAGTAGAATTCCATTTTGTATATATACCACATCTTTCTGATTCATTTACCTGTTTGTGGACACCTAAGTAGTTTCCATGGTTTGGCCATGGTAAATAGTGCTGCAATGAACACAGGAGTGAATATTTCCTTTTGAAATATTAGTGTCATTGTATCCTTTGCATTGATGCATAGGAGTGGAAATGTTACATTATTGGAAGATCCATCTTTTGAGAAATTTCCATACTGTTTCCCAGAATGTGGACTAATCGACATTCTCATCAGCAGTGAAAGAGGGTTCTTTTCTCTCCACTGCCCTCCCATGTGTGAGGTAGTATTTCATTGTGGTTTCGATTTACATTTCCCTGATGGTAAGTGATGATGAACATTTTTCCATGTGCCTATTGACCATCTACGGGTCTTCTTTGTGTAAGTGTCCACTTGGCTCTTTTGCAAAATTTTTGATGGATCCTTTTTTATTTTTTAAATTTTATTGGGTTGTATGAGTTCCTTGTATATCTTGGATATCAGACCCTTACTGGAAGTATGGTGTACAAAATTTTGAACAGCTTGATGATGCAGCAATTCTTCAGATTTTAGAGTAAAACAACCCTACTTTGTAAGTTATGGAGAGTTGTTTGAAAGACCATGAAATGTAGACAATGTCAAAAAAGAATTCTTAGTTACAAAGAGACTCACATTTAATGAATACTAGTAACAGTTCTCAGCAGTAACAAGTCAGAGGATGTCCAAGCTTTGCCTGGCTTTAGTTAAAAGACCAGTCTCAGACTTACAGAATAGAAATTGTAGAGTATAGGCGGGAACCCACACAGGGCAAACTCAAGTTATCACATTACTCAGGAAAATGCAGGATGTGGGTAAGATGCTTTGTTGTCCTTAATCACAACTATTTGGTGTACTGGGTTAAAAGTATAAATGATGAATATGAAAAAAAAGTGCTAAAAACATCTTTTTAAGAAACACACAAACATCACTATTTGAATATCAGGTCCTCAACTCAGATCCTATAGATAATCACAAATTTCAAAATTCTCTGTGGTCCTAACTAATTATATTTCTAGCACAGGAAAGTGTTTTAAACCTAGTTTCAAAATTCTTGAAGCAGGGCCTCCCTGGTGGTACAAGGGG